CTGATTTCTTTTTAAAAAATGCGTTTCTAAAGTGCATAAACTTTTGGGATTGACTGTATAGCCAATACATCCTTAAGCATGTGCTATCCCTGTCTATCCCACATTTCCTAACATCTAATGGCCCCCACACTCATGTTGCAGACATTCCAACATTTAATGTCGTTTAAAACAACGTCTGCGACACGCTGTAACGAAATATTTCACTGCAAAGACGAGAGAGAGAATTTTGCACTCATGTTAGTGTGCAGTAAGTTGTCACCAATTTAATATTGTGGGATAGAGGGCGTTCGTTTAGATTACCGTTCATTTATCATTAGATTTACCTATTAACAAATTGTTCGTTAATGTTAGTTTCCTAGAGAAAATGTTTATTATAAAAAAGAGAATCGTTGTCGAGAAACGTCGAGTCGTCGAATGTCGAGTTCAGTAATAAAATGTACTGCAGTGTGTCGAGTCGTAACAGCGTCGTTCGTGTCGAAATATAATATTATCGGAATACAAGTGTCGTTTAAAGTACGAGAACACAAATTAACGAAGCATTACAACGCTTAAAATTATTTACGCAGTATTCAGTATTTAATAGTTACGGTTCATTTATTCAAGTCTTTACAATTTCTATTTCAACTGTATACCCGTTTCTAAATAAAATCCCACAATATTTAATATCTTTTTTTAATTTAATGCAGCGACGTAGTTCGAGATTTTCGAGGACCTGTCCCGAGATTCGCGGATTCTCACCCGCATCTCTAAAGATGATACTTCATATTTCGTATGTGCCGTGCATCGTACACCTATTAATCGTCAGAGAAAAAGGGAATGGACATTGAAAAGGGCTTTAGAGAGGAGCTAAGGGTGGCTCCTTCGCCCCTACACGGCAGAATATCAATGGGCGATGATCGCATTACATTAGCGATTAGCTCACCGAACCATTATATGAGCGACCATCGTGGTCCGACACCGATCCCATAACTCCTGTACTATACGTCCGCGTTCAGAACCCCACGGTTCATGGTCCATGTGGTATAATATATTATATATTAGGAGCGGGAGACTGTCACCCTTCGGTGTAAAATAAACGATGCCTAATTATGCGCGTCGCCTACCCTACGTAAAACTCCACAGCACAGCGCGGCGAGGGCGTCTCTTTAAAAGGACTTCCTAATCGTTGTTTAAATCGACGAAGATGTTCAATAGACGTAGCTATCTTTTTAGTGTAAACGTCGACATTCTCAAAAATCTCGAGATTCTGAGATTTTGAAAGTTTTTGCATATCATTAGTAATTACCATATAATTACTTTTTCTATAGTGTGTCCCTTCGACCATATTCTATTTCATGAGTCAATCAAAAGTAATCGTGAATCCCGATCTTCTGACCATGTCTCAATAGCTAAATTGTTATGTTACATTAATCGAAACGTTGTGGCAATCGCGAACCCTGATCAAAGCCTATCAGTTCGTTTCTGGAGTCTGTCAACGTCAATTCCACTCTAATACATCTCTCTCGCGGGGGAAACTCGCTTCGCCGTGGAATTGGTAGCAGAGGACGTCTTTGATCTCCGTCCCCGATCCCCGAAAACTCACCCCTGCGACCGCCTTCCGAAAATGCACGCTCACCCGTTCGGGTACGAACGCCAGGCAAACGCTCGAACTAATTCAATTTTGTATCGTTGTTTCTCTGATGAGAACACAACGAATCGTGGATTCGAATTTCTCTCCAATCGTTCCGATACCAATTTTTAATCAATGCTATTCTATTCGATCTCCCATTACGTCGAGTTTAAACGGTCCGGGCATAATGAACAAGAGTGGTTCAATACGATTTTTCAATTACACAACTACGATGTCTGTGTGATACGTAGAAATAATTATTTAAAGCAGCGCACTTGAAATAAAAATTCATCTGAGTCTGACTTACAATTAAACGGTCACTTCTATCTTCGCTAGCACGTCACTACTCGCTACCATAAACTTCCACTGAGAACAAGTGCACGAATACGATTGTTTAATCAATATAAGAGACAAAGTATTTACCTCATTTCCATGGATACGATTTAAAATTGTTGATCCTCTTCTGTACAATAATCGTGACGACGTCCAACGTTCAAAATTAAAGATCGAAAGGTTCTGAAATCGATCAGTAGCAGATTCAAACCCGATTCAGCTGAGACCTTCTAAAATACACCACAGTATTTCTAATCGAATATAAAATATACAGGATGTCCCAGAAAAAGTGTTAGAGCCAAAAAGGGGTGATTCTGGAGGTGTTTCTGAACAACAATTTCCTTTGGTAAAATTCAAAATGAGCCATGGTTTTTAAATTATTGACGAAAAACACTGGCCAATGAGAGCACGCGTAGGGCTCGCGTCCAGCCGCGGATTGGTTAGTTCGGACCTTGACGCTCGGCCATGGCTTATCGCGGGCCCTATACGCTCTTTTATTGGTCAGTGTTTTTCGTTAATAATTCAAAAACCATGCTTCATTTTGTATTTTGCAATCACCCCTTTTCGGTTCTAACACTTTTTCTGAGTTACCCTGTAAAGTGAAAGGGCCTAAACGGACATAGTTTATGAGCCCTTCGTTACTGGGCCTGTCAAGTGCGGAAAATCGGTTTAACACTAGATTGCCCAAGGAAGTCATTTTGACTGCTTTTGGGCAAATGTACAAATAATA